ACAAAAATTTGTACATCTTAACTTCCTCTCCTCCAACATTTTGAATTTTTGATTTTACAACTTGCCTTTTTTATATCGTCTCTTAACAAATTGTGCTTGTAATTATTTTTGATAGTTTTGTATTTTCTTTTTACTAAAGATATAAATGATTTAAGAACCATGATTATAGTATTAGTATAACAACAATGTTCTTTTCTTTTGGTTTGAAGAACTCTGATTAGCCTTTTTTATAGGACAGGTCTAGTAGCGATACATTTCCTCAGCTTTTTTTTTTTTTTTGCCTGGGAAAGTCTTTATCTTGTTTCTGAAGGATAGTTTTGCCGGGTACACTATTCTTCGTTAAGTTTTTAATTTTCTTTCAGCACTCTGAAGCATTTCACTCCCTCCAACCCTAAGGTTCCCACTGAAAATTCTGCTGCCAGGTATATTGGATCTTCCTTATACGTTATTTGTTTCTTTTCCTTTTCTGCTTTCAGGATCCTTTATCTTTGATCTGTGTGAGTTTAATTATAAATCTTGGGTTGTTTTTTATTTTGGAGAGGGGAGGTTGAGCCTGGTTGGTGACCTTTAACCTTCATGTATGTGGATATTTATATCTTTTCAAGACTTGGAAAGTTTTTTGTTTTTCTTTGAATAAGCTTTCTACCCCTTTGTCTTTCTCAGTTTTTTCTTTAACTTCAATAACCTGAATATTTGTTCTTTTGATGATGTCTCATAGCTCCCATAAACTGTTCATTTCTTTTCATTCTTTTTGCTTTTTTCTCTGTGTTTTCAAATAGTTGGGCTTCAAGCTCACTGATTCTTTCTTCCTTTTGATCAGTCCTGCTGTTGATATTCTCTATTCCATTTTTCGTTTTGCTCATTGTATTTTCTAGCTCCAGAATTTTTGTTTGGTTTTGTTTATGATTTCAGTATCTCTGTTAAATTTCCCTGATACATTTCTGAATTGATTCTCTCTGTTTTCTTGAAGTCCATTGAGCTTTCTTAAAACAAGTATTTTGAATTCCTTGTCTAAAAGATCACATATCTCTATAACTTAAAGGTTGGCCTCTGGTGCCTCATGTCCATTTGTTGAGATCTTATTACCCAGAATCTTCTTGATGCTTGTGAAATTGCAGGCTGTCTGTGCATTGAGGGATTATGTATTTAGTTTAGTCTTCACAGTCTTCCTTTGTTTGTGCCTGTCCTTCTTTAGAGACCTTCCAAGGATTCTAAGCCAACTGAGTATTGTGTTTCCTGAGCCTGTGACCACTTCAGCTATCTAAACACTAGGAGACTGTATTAGGGTTCTCCAGAGGGACAGAACTAATAGGATTATGTGTATATGAAACTGAGTTTTTTAAGGAGAATTGACTCATATGATCACAAGGTGATATGAGTCAAAAAATTTGCCATCTATAAGCTGAGGAGCAATGAAGCCAGGAGTGGCTCAGTTCAAGTCCCAACGCCTCTAAGTTAGGGAAGCTGACAGTATATCCTTCAGTCAGTGGCTGAAGGCCTGAGAGCCAATGGCAAACTGCTGGTGTAGGTCCAAGACTCTAAAGGGCGAAGAATCTGGAGTTTGATATTCAAGGGCAGGAAGCATCCCGCATAAGAAAGATGAAAGCCAGAAGACTCAGCAAGCTGGCTTATTTCATCTTCTTCCGCCTGCTTTTTCTAGCCACACTGGCAGCAGATTGGATAGTACCCACCCACATTGAGGGTGGGGCTTTGTCTCAGTCCACTGACCCAAGTGCTAATCTCCTCCAGCAACATCCTCACAGACACAACCAGAAATAATATGTCGCATCCTTCAGTTCAGTCAAGTTGACACTTAATATTTACCATCACAGAGACTCTCTGAGCGCAGGCTTGCCACAAATCTCACAGGGTCTCTTTAGTTGATATGGCTTTCTGGCCCAGATGGACCTGGAGTAGACCCAAGGCAGATACTTGGGCTGCATGGAAATGCTGGCCAGGGATCTGAGTCCGGAAGACTATCCCAGTCGCCCAGATGAGTATGCCTTTCAGCATATTTCTGCATAGGCAGGATGGCCTGCTAACTTCAGTGAGAAGGCCTAGAGTTGAGCCTGGGCTGCTTTGGGATCTGCTGTGTGAAGGAGGCTGGCCCCGACTTATTTGCTCAGATCAGCATGCATCACTCAGCTGGTCACTGCAAAAGTGCTTGACTGTAACAGTGGGGGCTGGTACTGAGACGGGGCTCCCTTGGAATCTGCAGTGGGATGGAGGTTGGTGTTCTTGTCACATTGGCTCAGATGAGCATGTGTCTCCCAGCAGGTCCCTACATAGATGGGATAGCTCCCAGACTGCCGCAGGAGGGGCTGGAGCTAAGACTGAGCCCCCTTGGACTCTACTGTAGGGACAGATTTGGGAAGCTTGTCTTGCTGGCTCACAGTGGCATGCATCTCCCAGCAGGTCTCAGCACAGATAGGATAGTTCCTCTACTGCACTGGGTGGGGCTGAGACTGGGTCTTCTCAGGGTATGTTGTGGGATAGAGGCTGGTGAGCCTGTCAGGGAGGATCAGAGTCCTGGGCCATGAGATTTGTGTGAATCTCCCCCTGGGTTCTTGTGTAAGCAGCTATGAGCCAGGATCTCAGCTAGGGAGGCCTGGAGCGGTGCCACAGTTCAACGTCCAGGTTCACTACTGAGATGAGTATCAGCGGGCTGATGAGCTTTTCTGCCAAGTCATTAGTATGCATGATTTCTCTGAACTCTTTGGCAGATGATTTTGGTTGCAGGCTCAAAGTCAAATGGGGCTATAGTCAAGCCCCTTGAGGGACAGGGGTACTTCTGGGCTTGAATGCAAAAGCAAGCTTAGCAGAGCAGATCAGCCACTTAGGTGTTAGTGTACCCTCTCTAAGTGACCCTCCTATGTCTTAGGGTTTCACAGTTATGGATGGATGGATAATTCTTTTTATTGGGGGCATATATGAGCAGGTTACCTTCTGTTTCACCAAGATGTCACTCTATGAACTATATACTTAAGAGAAATTGCTACACTGAATATGTTGAGCATCCTTTTTTTTTTATGGATTAAGTCATTATCGTTAACATTAAAAATAGTAACGTTACTTTGGGAGGCCAAGGCAGGCGGATCATGAGGTCAGGAGATCGAGACCATCCTGGCTAATATGGTGAAACCCTGTCTCTACTAAAAGTACAAAAAATTAGCCGGGTGTGGTGGCGGGCAACTGTAGTCCCAGCTACTCGGGAGGCTGAGGCAGGAGAATGGCGTGAACCCGGGAGGCGGAGCTTACAGTGAGCCAAGATCACGCCACTGCACTCCAGTCTGGGCGACAGTGCAAGACTCCATCTCAAAAAAAAATTGGTAGTGTTAAGTCAAATTTGAATTATTCTGTACCCCACTCTCTCTCATCTTCACATTTTGCTATCCACAACAAATTAATTTAAATTTTTGATTGTTTTTGTGGTTATCTTCTCATTTCCATTGTACTCATTTGTCTTAAACTTGTTCCTCATTATTTTTCCCCTTTACTATTCTAAACATTACTGGTCTCTCAACTTCTCTCAACTCTTAATGTTCCTCCTAACCATCTTTTATACTGTGGCCAGAATCATCTTTCATTAATATCCCTGTTATCACTTAACTTTCATAAAACCCTTCCTATGGCTTACAGGATAAAATCTGAACTCCTGCCTCCCACTTTAAGTAGCTTTATTGATTGCCATAATCTCCCTGCACCCTATGCTTCATGTGTAGTGAATTCTTATATCAGTTCTGTTCAAGTGTATTTGTTGTATGTAATTTAAAAGTCAATGAACTGTGCATAAAGACCTTAAGAGCTCTTCTACAACAAAGTTCATATAGTAACATCTATTTTGGCACATCAGAGATCTTTTTGATTTCTTCCTGGGTCTTGATGTATTTCATATTTTTGAGGGTGTGAATAAATCAACTGAGGACTCACCTGAAATGTTACTTTCAATTCCTTGACTCTAAGGAGTTTCTTCTGTATGTTTTGATGGTACCTGTGCATTGCTCTATCATAGTACTTGTCATACTGTCTGCTAATTTTCCTTGTAATATGGTGTTTTATATGAAGCCAAATACTGCCCATACCAGTTTGGGATTAGTTAACATTCTGCTAGGGTTTGCCTACGTGTTTCAGTCAGTCAGATTTTTAAAAATTAATATAAATTGTTTAGGAAATACTTAAGTCAGTGTCTGGTTATATCCTAGGAATTGGCTGGACCCGTGAACTGCATGGAATAGAATATGAATCTTGTTCAAAGTAAGGGGGTGTGTATGTGTGTGTGTGCATGCATGCTCGTGCACACACAGTGAGAGGGAGAGAGACACACACACGTCTGTTGTTCTTTGGGATGTATGAGGAACTGTGTCAGAATAGCCAGATGCTGGGAGAAACATCCCCACAGCTGAGGTCATCTATCATTATGGGACAATTTAATTCATAACTTCTTGGGGTGACAGTGTATCCTAAGAAAGTAGTTTTGCATGTGGTAAAAAAAAGTCTACTGTGTCTCTTACAGTATTTGACATTCTGGGTATTTGAGAAATAAGAAAAATATTAAAGTTCAGAAATATTAATGTCAAAAAATGCACATCTCCAGATCTGATAAGTAGACTTGCTTAGAACTAGCCAGTGGTTAGGCCTGGGAATATGTGGATGTTACCTATTTGTTTGTCTTCCAAATGGCTGTTCCATCTTCTGTGGCTAGCACCACATCTGATATAGTGTAAAAATGTGGATAGATTTATAGACAGATGATGAATAAGTTGTTAAAATACTATGATTAGTCACAGCCTTTCCTTTGTATTGATGTGTGGTTTTTGGAACATAGAATGGCTTTCACTTTTAAGGCATAAATAACACACAGAGAAAATAAGCATACTAAAGGGATTAATAAGCAGATTTTGTTTCTTTTCTCTTTTGTGTATATTTTTTCTACTTCATTGGAAGAAATACACATGATTGCATTTATAAAGACACTGAACAGTTGTTTTCTTTTCATGCAGGGACCTGAATTAATGAATAAATATGTTGGTGAATCTGAAAGAGCAGTTAGAGAGGTAAGAAATTGTGCCTTTAGTGGCACTCAGCACAGGAGAATCACACTTCTGTCCTGTGCAGTTTCCCTTTTGTTTTAGGTAACAGACTTTGGCATTTCCAAAGCCAGATCTTAGTGGTATTTTTTTTTCTTCAGGTGAATATTATTTTATTATTTAAAAATGCAGTTTTGATCATCTGCAATACTTCAGTTTTGTTTTTAAACATCGTATTACCAGCCCTTATTTTTACCAAATAAAGATTTTTTTAAACTATCATTTTTTTCTGATAATAAGAGCCAGCATTTCTGTTAAAATAGTTAATGCTGTTACTAATAGTTAATAATACCTATCATTTATTGAGCTCTTACTGTTTCAGGCATTGTGCCAAATGCTTTGTGTTCTTTTTTAAATTCAGTTATTAAAATAACTTTCTGAGGTAGGTGTTTGTTATCATCTCCATTTTATAGATGTAGAAATCGAGGCTTACAGAAGTGAAGCTAACTGCTGAAAGTCACATAGTTACTAGTAGTGGAGCTGGGATTTTAACTGAAATTTTCTGATTGCTTAGCTGAATTGCCTCCTTCACATCTATATGAATATGTATTGGTAGTCTTGTCTCTTTAAGCACTATTGAAGGGGATACTTTTACATCCATTATAAAGTTCTGAGCATCTATTATAAGGTCTATACAAAGTGACTAGGCTTGTTGACTTGTACCTAATAAATGTGGTTCTAAATATAGTTTTAAAACACAAACCAACTACAGAATTTTCTAGTGTTTGCTTATCTTTAGTTAATGTGGCACTCTTTCCCCCAGACCTTCCGAAAAGCAAGAGCAGTGGCGCCTTCCATTATTTTCTTTGATGAATTGGATGCCTTAGCAGTTGAAAGGGGCAGGTAAGTATTTAATAGCACTGCTGTTATATAATAATATGATGTTACATAATAATAGCAATTATGGTATAAATAACATTTCATATACAACTTTTATCTATGAATACATTTGGCCTAAAACAGTTTTCAGTTTATGTAATTTTTTCCTCTTATACCCATTAAATTATTTCATGTAATCACTGTATAATACTTTTATCCATATTGGATAAAAGCCACTGATACCTGTTTGGGCATTTGAGTTAATTTTTATAGTTTATATCAACAGATTCTTCTGAGTATTGTCTATCAAAATTAGGGTTATTGTAAACATACAATCAGAACTGTAAATAAAACTGGATTAATCATAATTCTTGTAGTAGAACAGAATTATAATAAAATATGTTATACAGATTTTAAAATTCTCTGGAATAAACGTTTCCTAAAATAAAATTAAATAGAATATAAATTAGTATTAATAGTTTTGCTCCAGAATCTCAGGCAGTAAAGAGGATTATCTATGATGTCATTTCAAACAAATATATATACACGCGCGCGCACACACACACATACATATATCAGAACTATCCATAAGTATATGTTTTTTTCCTCTACAAATGTATAGTGGTCCTTTAATATGTACTAAAAGTGGTTCATATTGGGTAACATAAATTCATGTACTTCGTGCACAGTTTCTTGATGTGTATATTGATTATAAAATTTTTTGCTGATGGTAATTACAGTGAAGGGTGAAGACAACTTACAAGTGTCATTAGTGTGATATGAAACATTGCTGTTATCATCCTTCTTAGTTAGAGCTGCCTCATATGATGAGAGTATAAATTGTCATTAGGAACCTATCATTAGGAGGTAGACTGCTATATTAGTCCGTTTTCATGCTGCTGATAAAGACATACTCGAGACTGGGTAATTTATAAAGAAAAAGAGGTTTAATGGACTCACAGTTCCACGTGGCTAGGAGACCTCATAATCATGGTGGAAGACGAAAGACATCTCTTGGATGGTGACAGGCAAGAGAGAATGAAAGCCAAGTGAAAGGGGAAACCCCTTATAAAACCATCAGGTCAGGCCTCGCGGTGGCTTACACCTGTAATCCCAGCACTTTGGGAGGCCGAGGTGGGCGAATCATTTTGAGGTCAGGAGTTTGAGACTAGCCTGGCCCATATGGTGAAACCCTATCTCTACTAAAAATACAGAAATTAGCCGGGCGTGGTGTTGGGTGCCTGTAATTCCAGCTACTTGGCAGGCTGAGGCAGGAGAATCACTTGAGCCCGGGAGGTGGAGGTTGCGATGAGCTGAGACTGCGCCATTGCACTCCAGCCTGGGCAACAAGAGCGAAACTCCATCTCAAAAAACAAAAGAAAACAAAAAATCAGATCTTGTGAGACTGATTCACTACCACGAAAACAGTATGGGGGATACCGCCCCCATGATTCAGTTATCGCCCACTGGGTCCCTCCCTCAACATGCGGGAATTATGGGAGCTACAATTCAAGATGAGATTTGGGTGGAGACACAGCCAAACCATATCATTCTGCCCCTGGACCCTCCAAATCTCATATCTTCACATTTCAAAATCAATCATGCCTTCTCAACAGTCACCCAAAGTCTTAACTCATTTCAGCATTAACTCAAAAGTCCACAGACCAAAGTCTCATCTGAGACAAGTCAAGTCCCTACCACCTATGAGCCTATAAAATCAAAAGCAAATTAGTTACTTCCTAGACATTACAGAGGTACAGGCATTGGATAAATACACCCATTCTAAGTGGGAGAAATTGGCCAAAACGAAGGGACTAAAGGCCCCATGCAAGTCCAAAATCCAGCAGGGCAGTCAAATCTTAATGCTTCAAAATGATCTCCTTTGATCCATGCCTCACATCCATGTCACACTGATGCAAGAGAGGGGTTCCCATGGTCTTGGGCAATTCTGCCTCTGTGGCTTAGCAGGGTACAACCTCCTTCCGGTTGCTTTCACGGGCTGGTGTTGAGTATCTGCAGCAACACAGTGCCACAGGCACATGGTGCAAGCTGTCAGTGGACCTACCATTCTAGGGTGTGGAGGATGGTGACCCTCTTCTCACAGCTCCACTAGGTGGTGCCCCAGTGGGAACTCTGTGTGGGAGCTCAGACCGCACATTTCCCTTCCGCACTACCCTAGCAGAGGTTCTCATAAGGGCCCTGCCGGTGCAGCACACCTCTGCCTGAACATCCAGGCATTTCCAACATCTTCTGAAATCTAGGCGGAGATTGCCAAACCTCAGTTCTTGACTTCTGCCCTCCCGCAGGCCCAACTCCACGTGGAAGCTGCCAAGGCTGGGGCTTGCACCCTCTGAAGCCACGCCCGAGCTTTACCTTGGCCCCTTTTAGCCACACCTTGCGCGGCTGGGATGCAGGGGACCAAGTCCTGAGGCTGCACTCAGCAGCGGCAGGGGGAGCCCTGGACCTGGACCAGGAAACCATTTTTCCCTCCTAGGTTTGCAGGCCTGTGACGGGAGGGGCTTCTGGGAAGGTCTCTGACCTTCCCTGGATACATTTTCCCCATGTGTTGGCATTAGCATTTGGTTCCTTGTTACTTGGGCAAATGTCTGCAGCTGGCTTGAGTTTCTCCCCAGAAAATGGGTTTTTCTTTTCTACTGTATCTTCAGGCTGCAAAATTCCAAACTTTTATGCTCTGTCACATCTTGACTGCTTTGCTGCTTAGAAATTTCTCCCACCAGATAACCCCAAATCATCTGTCTTGTGTTCAAAGTTCCACAGATCTCTAGGGCAGGGACAAAATGCCGCCAGTCTCTTTGTATAGCAAGAGTAACCTTTACTCCAGTTCCCAACAGGTTCCTCATTTTCATCTGAGACCACCTCAACCTGGATTTTATTGTTCCATATTGCTGTCAGCATTTTGGTTAAAGCCATTTAGCACATCTCTAGGAAGTTCCAAATTTTCCCACATCTTCCTGTCTTCTGAGCCCTCCAAGTCTCTAGGGAGTTCCAAACTTTCCCCCATTTTCCTGTTTTCTTATGAGCCCTCCAAACTGTACCAACCTTCACCTGTTACTCAGTTCTAAAGTTGCTTCCACATTTTTGGGTATCTTTACAGCAGCACCCCACTCTACTGTTAACAATTTACTAGATTAGTCTGTTTTTATACTGCTATGAAGAAATACCCAAGACTGGATAATTTATAAAGAAAAAGAGGTTTAATGAACTCGTAGTTCCACATTGCTGGGGAGGCCTCACAATCATTGAGGAAGGTGAAGGAAGAACAAAGGCATGTCTTATGTGGTGGCAGGCAAGAGAGCTTGTGCTGGGCAACTCCCCTTTACAAAACCATTAGATCTTGTGAGGCTTATTCACTACCACAAGAACAGTGTGGGGGAAACCACCTGCATGATTCGATTACCCCACCTGGCCCTGCCCTTGACACATGAGGATTATTACAATTCAAGGTGAGATTTGGGTGGAGACACAGTCAAACCATACCAACTGCCCTGTGTTCCACCCCCCTCACGTTTGGTATTCCATAAATACTTACCAGTCTTTTTGCTTTATGAAGTGAAGCACTCAAGCCCTCTTATTACTTATGTTTTAAGATGGCACAGAGTGTTACAAAAACTCAAGTTTACCTAACTACAAGAGAAGAAAAGCCAGATAAATTTGCTGAAGTAGTGTGACCTTCCGCATTTATGTGACATCAGAGACGTCTGGTTTTGGATCCCAAAAAGGAACAGGTGGGATACCCTGTTAAATATGAACCAGATGGGAGGTCGAATATGTAGCAAAGTTCTCATAAAATGCCACTGAAATAAAGTGATGTGAGAAACCAGACAAGGCACGTTGTAAAAATACCTTGCTTTTATAGGAGTTTAGCTCAGTAGGAATTACCAGATACATTAGAGATACTAATGATTTGTAACTTCTGGATATCATTTCCTCTGGTAGTCTTCATCAAATTGAACTTTTCAGAGAACATATGTGTTTAATGTATACCTCCCTCTCTCAATGGCTCGTCATGTGTTACCTAATGATGGGGAGCAGTTTACATACTGAAAAATTCAGTCATTAGTTAATTTCATTGTTGTGCAAACATCATAGAGTATACTTACTTATAAACCTAGATGGTGTAGCCTTCTACACTATATACCATATGGCCTATTGCTAGATAGTATAACAATCATCTGCAGTACTTTGATTTTGTTTTCAAACGTCGGATTACCAGCCTTTATTTTTATGAAATAAAGGTTTTTTTAAAACCATTATTATCAGAAAAAAATGATAATAATAATCATACCTATCAATTATTGAGCTCTTACTATTTAAGATATATATATATAGCAATAAGCCATATGGTATAGCAATAGGCTATATTACCTATACCAGGTAGCCTGTTCCTAGGCTACTAACTTATACAGCATGTTATTGTACTGAATACCATTGTAGGCAGTGGTAACAAAATGGTTAGATTATAAACATACAAAAGTTAGAGTAAAAATATAGTACTATGATCTTATGGTACCACCTTCATATATGTGATTGCCATTGACCCAAACTTCATTATGTGGCACATGACTGTAGAAATAAATTCTATGCAATTTCTTTTCTACAGAAACATTTCTGGTCATAATTTATCAAGTTAGTTGACATTTCAGAAAGCAAAGATGAAGTTCCATTCGAGGAAATACAGTGCTGATGGGTCTCAGTTAAAGAGTTTTGGTTGTACTCTATTTGCACTGAATCTTATGTAGTTTATTTTTTGTAACCATAAAACTCTCATAAAGTGACATTCTGTTTTCAGGTCTTCGTCTTTTTTTCCTAATTATATGATGGATCAGTATTGTCTATAAGTGATTGTTTTATCTAATTAGCTTGCTGTTACTTGAAATCTAAAACAAAGCTATTTTGTTCATTTTTTTGTTCTTTGGCTGTTTGAATTAAACACAATGGAAACTGAGAAACAACTACTGATAGATATACCAGAAGTATAAAATTCCCAAGATACTAAACCAATT